TACTGAATGAAACTATAACAATAAATACGCTTGAATATGCATCTTAATAGCTTGCAGACTTATATAAAATTCATGCTTTTTGAACAGCATACTTTTTCATATTACATTTTCATGATGCTAGTATCCCTTGACAAGTTTAAACAAGTTGTTTTTTTGTGTGTGTGAGTATTGATTTTCAAACATTTCATATTTATTAGTATCACTCTTGTATCACAAATGTAACAAACCAAATAACGATTTATTCCCTACGAATTTCTGTCTTCTATCAAAAAACTCCCACAAAACTTTACATTTTAAGAGTGAACATGTATTTTGATAAACACACATATATGTAAAATCTATTATAAATTACAACAAAAGGGTATAATATAAAACACCTTCCTTACTGGTCGAAGAATAGATATTGCTTGTATAGTAGCCTCAGCAACTGCAAGGCTATGAAATAGACTCATGGCTTATTCTATTATTACAAGAATGGGATCAACAAGCAACAGAAGAATTGTATGTTTCCATTTAAATAATGACCTCCAAGAGATGACTGGTTGGACAAAGCCTAATATGCATAACTATTTAAAATATCTTCTAATTTCTGGAATCTAAATAGGACACTTACATCTTTAAATTTTTTAAATTTAACGTTTCCTTGGTACAAATGATTAGATTTGCAATCACAGGCAGGATTTGGGAAATAAATGAACTGTCCTTTTTAAAGATAATATAGACTGAATGAAGTTAAGAAGGATTTGTACAAGCTTCTTTGACAGGGATGTCATGCATTTACAAGGAAAGTTCTATTAATAGGTTTTCTGGGAGTCACAGGCTGTTCTGTAGGGCTGCTTTTAGTTATCTCCCAGTATTACAGTGATGAAAGCACTGGAGCTCCTTTCTTATACACAAACATGCTATGAGATATTTCTGAAGGTTTTATTTTGTCTGCTGCTGATCATATTAAACTGAGTTAAAACCATAGCTCTTTTGGTTTGATTAAAAAGAAATGAACTGTCCTGCCTTAACGGAAGATCTAATTATGTTTTTTTAGCATCTGTGAGCTTGTGAATTGGCAGGCTATGTGCTTCCTGGTGCCTCTATATTCATGCACATGCATTGCCATTAGAATAAATCAGGGTTAATATCTGTATGTAGTTTTACAGAACCACATACATGAAACAATGGGATTTAATTTAATCACCACTAAAGCATCTCTTTTTTAGTTATACAACTGCAAAACAAAAACGACCCAGATCAAATCCAGCCTCATCCACTTTTCCCGCATCCCCAGAATTAATTCAGAAAGAAGATAAATCTTGAAGAATAGTAAGTACAGAAAACGGCTAGAAAACTACTCTCCAAATTACAATGATCACTAATTAGCCAGAATTTATTACCATAAAATAGAAAGCATTCCTGATAAAAAGGTGGTGTTGGAGCAAATATTGCTTCAGGAAGCCACAGAAATGCTACCAGATGACTTCAATGTTCAAGAATGCCTCAAAGTACTAAATGATTCCAAAGAAATATATCAGAGTTGCTCTATTGAGTTTCTACAGGTTAAGAAAAATAGACCTGGGAATGAATGGCAAAATGTATGAAGGAAAGAGGAACTAAGAGCTGTCTTTTCATATTTAGGTTCATCCTGAAAATCTAATTCAAAATATTCATTGCTTATAAGTAGATTCTAAATGTAACATGCATTTTTAGCAAAAAGCTATCAGATTATGTTTCAAAATGTATTTCAGTCTGGAGTTTTTATTTTCCTTAATGGAGTCTCAAATAGAAAGGGTGAAAACCTTTTTAATGAAGGCATGCTTAAAAACAAAAAAAGCCAATAATGTGGTTCTATATGGAATTATTGACCTACTAAATGCTGTTGGATTTTGTGATTGTTTGAAAATCATCTTGTTTAACAGAAAATAAATTCTAAAATACACTTTTATGCGGTTTTAAGGAGATTCTTTCTAATGACAAACCTGATGCAAAAAGAAAAGAAAAGAAAATTTAAAAACAAGTTGTACTGCTGTTTTGGAAAAAAGATTGAATTGGAAGCATTTGTTGAGTGAAACCAACGCACTATGTGCAATGAATTCAGGCCACAAGCTATTGGGTTCACACTCTATTTGGGTTTACGCAATACCTTATACCATAAATTAAATTAATTGGATGGGTTTTCACATCAAGGTAAAAAATTCCTAATTGTTAGATTTCACTAATTAGACTAAGGATGTTAAATAAACTCAGCTCTTGGTTTCCTTCACCCAGAGATTCTGACTAAGACAAAAAAAAAGAAAGCCATTGGATCCATCTTATAGTTCCTAAATGTGGAGGAAGTTTTAACAGGCTTTGATGTCCTGAAAACAAATGCTTCAAAATGTACCAAATGGGTGTCAAAATAATTTCCACCACATTTCAGAGAACACAGAGAACAGAGAATCATCTCCGGCATTCAGTCTGGAGCAAATAACCATATGAGAGGAGCTCTATTAAAGTAGTATTCCTCCCCCACCCTCCTTTACTGAAACACCAGAAAACAGATTTTCTTGTTCAAATGAATGTGTGCAGTTTAAAGGGGCAAGTTGTTGTTCACTCCCCACACACACATTTTGTTCTAGCAAGATCAAACATTTATAAAGGACATCTATCTTCACCTTAGGTTCATCCATTTTATTTCTCCTCTACAGAAAATGAGGAAAAAATGTTCCATTTGAAATGAGCTATGGTTTCATTTGGCAGGTTCCTTGCTTGCCTGCAATTCTTGCTTTTGTGCAAAGCAGAAATTTGTTTGGGGCAGCTAAGATGGAAGGATTCCCAGCGTTAACACCATCATGAGTAATACCTAGTTAAAAGCAGACAATGCATTAAAAACACCTCTTCAGTGACATTCACAGTGAAACATACATCCTATTTTGGTGAATACTTTGCTGTATTGCCTCACTTTTGATATATGCATTTGCTAAAACACCAACATACTGATTCAAAAGACCCCATTCTCCTTACATTCTCTGTTTTTAAAAAGAGAAATGTTCTGATTCATGTGCTATAATATTTGTCTGTTTAAGATAATCAAGGCTAATTTGAATCCACATCTGTTTGCAAATAAGATTCAAACAATGTTGTATTCTTCTCCAAAGGCTGTGCATCTTTCTTTGAATTTAGGACCATATTTGGCCTGAAGGGCAAACCAGGGATCAATTTAAGAAATAGCTTGCATAGTGTGGAAGGAAGAAAAAATAAATTAATATTTGATTACTATGAAACATAATTAAGATTATTATTCTTTGGTGCTAAATATAACTAATGATTCGTCTTTAAAATGAAGCTTCATCTTATATTTATTGAGAATATGAGGAGGAGGAGGCAGATGAGGTTTTTTCTTATCTGATCTTCCCTCCAATTTCCTTGAAGGATCCATTTAAATTCAATTCCTTCTTTCATAAAATATATACTTAAATCCGCCCCCCCCCCCATCTTTTCTCACATGAAAAATGATAACCTGATAACAACTTTTTGAGTTCTTGGATGGCTACATCCAAGTGTTTTGGTAGTGTATCTTTGCCCTGCACAGTAGTGCCCACCCACTCATGAGAATGTTGAATCCATTTCTTCCTTAGCGCCACTCCTTGCTGTCTACTGTGCACAAAAGAAGATTTATTAAGGAATGAGAGTGTTTTTGTTTTTGTAATTTCCTAATTCCAAGAGTCACTTAAAATTTCCTGGTAAATCTGTCATTATATTCACGACTTCTGTGGTTTGCTGCAACCAGAGTGGGAGGTACTGCATGTCTATTTTAAGTGGGATAGTTAGGGAACAATATTTTTTCTTACTTCTTCCTATAACTGAAAAAAATATTATATGCACCAGCTCCAGACTTGTATAGTCTCCGTGGTTTTATTTATGTATCTGGGGAACAATCAGATTTTGGAACTAGTGTATGGATGTTACCATTCTACCTTCTTCCTGATGCTGACTATTACAGAGAAAACATCCATATATATTTAGATCAGTTGAATTGGTATCAGTACACTTCTGGCATAAAGGTATGGACTTCCCTGTCAATGGCGTAGAGACAAGTATGCTCTTTGGTTGCCCTCCAGGTAACATATGATTGTTCCCCAACACAAATATTCCTAATCAGTCTATAGTAAATTAATTGTATTTGTTTTAACTCTTCACAATTGATGGATTATAACTGTAATTCACTCAATAACCTTATAAATTAGAAATTTTTCAGATTAAAGAACATCATTAGTATAATTTGGTATTTGGTAAAAATAAATATACAGAAAGTTAAGAACTATAGAAACATTGTTTAATTTTACCCTTTGATCGAAAATATGCCCGCTTCCCAGGTATCCTATTTTCTAGTAATTTCCATGCCATGTTGAACTGCCATCTCTGAACTGAACTATCTGCAAGTAGAGCTGAAAAATATTGAGCTTTGCCCATGCATTCAACAGTTTTTCTGGCTACAAGAGGGAAGATTATTTTACACATTACTTAGAAGGGTAAGGAATCAGTGAGAATAAAACAAGACATAGTAGAAGTCGAAAAAAATTACAATCTAGGAAAATCATTTTTCTAATGCCTAAATAAAATAAAATAAAGTCTGCTAAATATATGTGTATGGGTGTGTATACACATCCACATGCATCTTCCATGATTCTGTACATAACACTAGCATTTATCTTTAAATGATTATTTACCAGATCCTTTCATTGCAATAGTAATGCCAGTCCAGACTCCTATGGACATGTTATTGTTTCTGATCTGGAAGTTAGACACCATTGCGCCTTTGAAACAATATATTGTTCTCATTAATGGCTAATTTATGAAAAGACAACCTCTTGAAAGTACTTTTACTTCAAACAACTGCTTGATTCAAGTACTTTTCTTTCAAAATTGCTATTAATAAAACAGTTTCACCAATTTTCCCATGGCTTAGGGGCATGAAATCTGGTGCAGTCAGAAGAAGACATCGGCATGACTGCTCCAGAATAAGGATTGTTTCACATGACCACACACTTGCCCTTCAGTTTTTCTTTCCTTTTCTGCTGCTTGCTTTTCTTGCCATCAATTTGTAAACTCACAGTCCTTCGTTTCTCCAAATTCAGCAGCTCTTGGAACAACTCTTTGACGTTGTGGTTCATTTTAGCTGAGGTCTCCATGAAAGCACACTTCCATTTTTTGGCCATGGCTTCTCCATCAGCGGTTTGTATCTCTCGGTTGTGGTCCTCGTCGCTCTTGTTTCCCACCAGCATGATTGGAATGCTCTCTGTATCCCCTTTGATCTGACATATCTGTTCATAAATGGGCTTGAGTTCCTCCAAAGACTGCCGGCTGGTGACCGAATAGACCAAAATAAATGCATGTCCTTTGGAAATAGACAAGCGCTGCATGGCAGGAAATTGATGACTCCCTGTTGTATCGGTAATCTGCAAAGTGCATATGCTCTTATCACAGCTGATCACCTGCCGGTAAGTGTCTTCAATTGTAGGGATGTAACTATCTCTAAAGGTGCCTTTAACAAATCTCAGGACCAGTGAACTTTTGCCAACTCCTCCTGCTCCAAACACCACCACCCTGTAATCATTACTTTGCTCTGGCATGTTTTCTGATTTGTTTTTTCAGCCAGGAAAGAAAGTCTGCAGTGATAAAAAAATATATATTAAAAAATTATTAATAATCTTTTTTTCTACAGTTCATCAAAAATCTCAGAATGAAATATATGAGAACGGATTGCAAAGTCGTGAAACTTCACCATGAGAAAGTCTCTTTCACCTGACTTGGAACTTGCAATACAGAACAGAATTAATAGTAATTATTGATGCACTGAAATCATGATGAGGACTTGATTTCAGGATACAAACAGAAATGTTATTTATTATCAGATTCACATTAAAAGCTATATGACTGCTGAATGTTAGGCATAACAATGAAAGATTTTATGGATCTGCCAAAGCTAATCCATTGGTGCAATTATACCCAGGGTAACAGCCATACTTCTATATCAAATGGTTTTCTTGGTTTCTGATTAGACAAAACTAATTAGAAGGTGCAAAAATTGAAAAGATGCATTTGGATTTTGCCTTGCTAAGACAAGATTACAAGATCAAACTTTCCTTAGCACCTCCATCTTAGAATCTTTTCTCTCTCCCAAAAAGCAAGAAGAGGCTTCTTCACTTTGGTTATACTAATGCAAAAGCTTCTCCTGAATTTGCAAATGATAGGGAAGATAAGAGGCTTGTGGAGGCTTCTAAATGCACCTAAATCAAATACATTAAATTAAAATGATGCAAACCACTTCGTTGACACAAATTATCTTTTTTTTTCTCGACAAAGAGGATAATGACACTGCCTTGAACCAGCTAGGCATTCATTACTCTTACCTTTGCTACTGTGTTAATTTCAAATTATTTTCATAAATGCTGGTAAATTGAACATGATTCAACATGGTTGCTGAAAGCCAAGGGTGGTTAGTTAAAATTAGGTTTGGAATTATGAACTTCATTGGCCTACTTTAGAGCAATTTTCTTTATATCAATTCTAAAAACATGCAACACAATAAAGAGAGGATATGCTTTATCTATGATTTCAGAAAAGTTCAAGAACTTTCCATTAAGATTTTTTTTTTTGAAAATTTCTCCTCAAATTGAGGGAAGTATAAACTTCTTGATCTTGTTTTTGAAGTGAAATTGGTGCATCAATAATCCTACATAAACTTCTGCTTTATTTTTGATATCAAAATGAGAAGCCCTCTGAAGTTTTAATATGTTCAGTCGCTTTCGTTTCTTTTCCTCCATACATTTCCATATAAAACTCCATGTGGAGAAACCATTGCAAACTTGCGGATTCATGTGCATTAATGAAACATTGACAAGATTTGTATTTGTGGTGCTCTGTTAATCATAAAACTATATGTGAATATCAGCAAAATATCACATTGAAAGGAAATAAATGGCTAAATTATACATATGTTTTTCAGAGTTTACACATGCATGTTCACACCATTTGTTGTACAAGAAGAGGGTCTATCAAGCGAAAGAGGAAGTTGAAGAAATTGAATGCTGCATAGGCTGCAAAATGTCCCAAGCAGTGAGAGCCAAATTAAGTCAACAGACCAATAAAAGAATAGAATAGAAGGAAATCCTTTCATCTCATTGTAAAGATAAGAACTTTCTGTCTCTATACAGCTTTCTTTAGGGCAGTTCCATGTGCTGATCTTCTGCTATTTCTCTTTGTCAGCTGAGAGGATTTATTACAAGCCCAGCTGACGTATAAGAACCAACATTACAAGTTCTCAGCAGAAATATATTGGTACTTTAACCTCTACATGGCTTGGGAGATCATTGTTTCCCCATTAAAATTGTCCCTGAACTTCATTCACCTTAGTAATCTTACAAGGGAAATGTTGGCTTTGAAATCAGTCTCCTAGTAGACTGTACAGATGATGGCAATTATGAGTTTACAAAATGCTTTTGATGGATTGGAGAGTGAAAATAGAAATTATATAATGGAAGTGTCCAGAGGGGGGGGGGGGAATCAAAGGATTCTGAGGCTGATGCAAAACTGTAGTAAAAGTAATAAATTGCTTACTTGAGCTATTCAAATGGGAACTCGTAACCATCTTTGCTTCAATTGAATAATGCATTTATCACTTTAAAAACCCAGGGAAAGCATTTACAACATTGCAGCATAAATTTAGCTGCTATCGTGTTTTCCCCAAAATATGACATACCCCGAAAATAAGTCCAGCTTGATTTTTACATCAAGCCTTATCCCCAAAATAAGCCCTAATCAAGACCTACTCCAGGGTGCATGGCTAAAAATGATGCTAGGGTGGGGATGAGGGATGTTGGAGCTGCCCTACTATTTACCTTTGGACAGTTGCAGCCAGGCCTCGCACACCCCGACACCTGCCTTGCCGGCCCATTTTTTCTGCAGCTGGCAAAGCTTTCCTGAAGGCCTCTGCAGCCAATAACAGAACTCCAAATCAACCCAGAGCTCTGTTATCGGGTGCAGATGCCTTCAGGAAAGCCTTGCTGGCCTTACTGGCCTTGCCAGCCACAGAAGAAGTTCCTGAAGGCCTCTGACAGTGAAAAGGTGGCCAGGGGCTATGTGAGCAAGTGAGGTGAGTCAGTGGATGACATTCCCCCCCCCCAAAAAAATAATAATAATAAGACCTGGTGCCTTTTTTGATGGCAAAAAATAAATAAATAAGACAGCTGAATCCCACCACTACATGGTTTCATGTAACACTGCAGCTTTATCATGTGGGTGCAAATTGAAATTGGAAAAAAATGTGTATACTTAAACCAATTTAACAAAATTCAAATTAAAAAAAGTACTTGAAAATTGAAGCAAAAAACAAGCAAAGATTGCTCTGAGATGTGCAGATCACATTCCGTACATGCTGTCACATTAGCACTGTACTTAAATTGCTTTTATGAGCTCTGATTCTGAAGGTTTTAGAGGCACTCTAATTGCTAAATATGGCTGAAAAAGATAAGCCTAATATTACAATTCTCATTAGTCAGCGCAAGTAATTATTAAAGAATCTCTCTAATGAACATTTTAATTACAGGCTCTAAACAGACTGATTTCAGAAGATTTTTTTAAAATGCTCCTTTCCTGTGTTTGTAGGAAAAAGGAGTTCCATAGAATATTTAAAGGTGGTCCACCAATGAAATTTAAAACAGGATATTCTAGAATGGGTGTCTCCATCATTATCTTCCCAAACTGGTGTTCTCTAGATGTGCCTCACCACAGTTCCCATCATTTCAAGCAAATCCAACGGGGAAAAAAAAAACCAAAATAAAAATGTTTTCAGCACAATATTTCTCAGGGAATAAATGTAATCTTTTCTTGCTGCTTATCATAAGTAATTTTGTCTCCTTTGTAGATTTTTCCTACTATCTTTATGTTACCAATAATAATATTATCAGTTAGTGTTTATGTGTTGATAACATGAGGGCCCACATAGTTCATTTCAAGTGTAATAAATCCTGTCATACAGAAATTGCTCTCCTTCTGAATGAGCTTTATTTTTTAATTATTTTAATATGTAAACAATTTTGTATACACTGTTATGGTTTTGCATTATTTTTTATAAATATGTTATACATATTTAATAAACAAAATAGTTAAAATTGCATATCATGCTAAGCCAAAATGGTTAAGATGAACAAATCCTGAATATGTCCATTTGATCCTTCTTTGAAATCTATGGATACAAAACAATTGTGGGATTCAAATTTTTTTTACTACCAGTTCTGTGGGTGTGGCTTGGTAGGCAAGGCTTAGTGGCCGTGGCTTGGTGGCCATGGTAGGGGAAGGATACTGTAAAATTTCCATTCCCTCACCACTCCAGGGGAAGGATACCAGAAGTGGTATTCAGCAGGTTCTAACCAATTCTGGAGAACCAGTAGCAGAAATTTTGAGTAATTCGGAGAACCGGCAAATACCACCTCTGACTGGACATTTTACAGTATCCTTTCCCTGCCACACCCACCATGCCATACCCACAGAAACGGTAGTAAAAAAAAAAAATTGATTCCCACCACTGAAGGATATTGCAAAATCTCCATTCCCACACCACTCCGGGGAAAGGTTACTGCAAAATCTCATTCCCTCCCCACCCCACTAACCTGCTTTCCAGCTCCATTCTCCTGTGCATGGCAACAAAAGAAGACCCAGCCAATCAGTAGGGACTTGGGAGGCAGAGAATAGATGGGGCGGGGCCAGTCAGAGGTGGCATTTGCTCGTTCTCTGAACTACTTAAATTCTCCACTACCGGTTCTCCAGAACTGGTCAGAACCTGCTGAATACCACCTCTGATAAAAAAGTCCCATATCATGCAATCACAAGACATCAATTTGCCTTTAGCCATGAAATACATTTAGTGAAGAGACAAAACATAGAAATGTTTTATGAGTTGATACCTATCTTATGGTACCTGTTATATCAGGGATCCCCAACCTTTTCGACGCCGCGGCCCGGTTCCGGCATCAGCTGGGCGCCGCGGCCCGGTACCGGCATCAACTGGGCACCGCCATCTTTTTATGACGAAAAGGCGCTTCCGGTGACGTCACCGGAAGCGCTGTTTCGTCAAAAAAGATGGCGGCGCCCAGCAACCAGCGGCCCGGTAAGGCTTGTTCCGCGGCCCGGTACCGGTCCGCAGACCGGCGGTTGGGGATCCCTGTGTTATATGAATGAACCCATAACATTGTTTCAACATTCCAAATGTGTCTTTTAGCCCCAGAAGACCTCCCACCCCTGACTGGGGTTGTTGGCTTTGTAAGCATCCTACATTGTAATTTGTTGTATTTCACTATTGAAGAAGTGCTTTTACTGTTTTGGGGTTTTTATTGTTGTTAAAACCACCCAGGTTTTTGTTTTGTAAGATGGACAGTCAAGTAGGCCAAATGAATGAATGAATGAATGAATGAATGAGCTTCTTAGAAATTTAAGTTGTGTTTCCGAATGTTACAAATGCCAGTAAGATTTCAATGCCATGTTTACAAATGTAACAAAACCTGGGGAGGTGTTGCACATCTGTACATGTCTCAGTTGCCCAACTTGAGAGTAAGAGGCTTAGGTTGCAAGTGCA